AGTTAGTAACTTCAACATACAGAATATTTTCTGTGGAAGGAATATACAACTTAACTGCTTAAACAACTAATTGTACCTGCTTAAAAACTGACTGTGACATAATTAAAAGGTTTCATGTAGCTCTTGCCTATAATCCCTTAAAACCATTTTCTCATAATTCTTACAATTCCGTGTCTTGCTTTGAAAAAGCATGCATGAGGAAAAGCAAAAGCCATTGTTCTGTCTGTCTCTGTTATGACCACATGCTAAATATGCCCTGATTTCTGGACCAAGAGCTCTGCACTGATCAAAGTAAGCACACAGTCAGGCAGAAGGTGCCCCTTTTGTTGCTGCTTTCATTTTTGAAATGAATCATAATTTCTGCATTGGATATGAAGATGGGTTTACAGCTATTAGCCATCATATTAATAATTTCGAAAATACATGCCCAATCACTTGTGTTCTTTCCATTCCCGATGAACACAGCTGCAACCCACATTAGAAGCTAGAGTGAATGGATATTTTTCAGATGAGATATTTGGGCTGAATTATTAGGATAGCCTGTACTACAAAATTACTAATAAACATTGCTTCTGGCTCAATTTAGCCTGAACTCAGTGAACCTAGCCAATGGTGACAAATCAAAAACTCTGAAATACCCGATGAATGAATCTAACTAATCAAGGAACCCTGTAGGAAGTAGATGCCAGGATTAATGAGCCAGTAGTTTCACCATGCCATGCTGTTATTTCTCCATATAAATGCCCTCAGATGAGATTACCTTTATGTCATGAAAAGGATAAAAGAAGGTTACATTTGTTCAACTGACAGGTTAACTACTGCCATTACTAGTAGACATTTCTTTGTGGGCTAAGTTCCTTATCTACACTAAGAATTAAAATGCAAAGTCCACAACACAAATTTAAAACATTCTCATTTTCAAAGGAAGAAGTCATTGAGGTCAGCAAACATAAATGGCCCCAAAGTTAGTATTTTCTCTGTATTCTCCCCATTAACCTTTACCTTGATATACCAAATTTGCTGTGTCCTATTTTGAATTCAATTCTTAACATCACCTTTAGCAGGCTGAATTCCTCTATCCTATGTTTTTTTGGTTTTGAGGGTCATACCCCGCATTGCATTGGGCTTACTCCTGGCTCTATGCTCAGGGATCATGCTCGGTGGGCTGAATTATTTAGCTTGGGAGAACATATGTGGCACAAAAGATCAAACCCAGATGATCCATGTGCAAAACAAGTACCTTAATCCTTGTAATATCTCTCTGGGCCCCTATATCCTTTTTTTTGTCACTATCAATGAAAGATAAAGTAGGTGTAACATCATTACTATGCCATCACTTATATGCCACATACAATATTTAGTAACAACATCAGGGAAGAAAATACACCGAGATGAATATATGTATTCAAATCATTCATATAGTTATACCAAAATGCACTTTGACTCTGTCTACCTGGTGAGTGGTTAAACTACTCAATACCAAACAGGCTATGCAGTAAAAAGCATGATTAAATAGAGGAATGATATCTAGCACTATTGTCTTTACATTAGCATTTAGTTATTAATAAATCTTAATAATTCTTAGTTAGAATCACTGCTAAGAAATTTTTAAAATCATTATTATACTGTTAGTTCCCCCCCCCCCCTTCAAAATCCAGAAATCTTTTAGGTTTGTGATTAAGATTCTCATTCTCTGCTTTCTGTCTTTGCTAAACTGTCAACTTAACAATTCTGACCAGGTTGCTATGCCTTATGCTAATGGTAGAGATGACATTAAAATGCTCAGGGTTCTTAATCTATTGTCATTGAAACAAATATTATTCCAGACTCAGAGCAAGTGAAAAACTCCATACGCTTTCATTATAATATTGATAAATAACCACTGTATTATGAAATATAAATAGCTTTGAGAGCATCTATCACTTCAGTTGATTTGTAACTTCTCATCAGTGTTCTAAGTTGGCCTGGTTTTTTTTTTTCAAATGAAAGATCCCATTTCCCTTGCCTTTGAGAAATACAATTTTTAAAGATTCCATTTAGCATCCTTTATTGCACTCCTACATCATAAAGTTATGCTTTATAGCAGCATAAAAAGCTGTAAAATTAGCGTCCTTGTAAACAACCTTCCATGTTCATTGGTGAAGCAATCTGTGATTTGTACTGATTTTTTAAATGTGATTTGAGATTATAGTATTCACGATTTAAAAAAAAAACTTTAAAAATAGATTACTAACCTAAGACAAGGGAAAATAGGAAGAAATGTTACATTGAAGAAAATATTTTTTATCTAATGATAGTTTAAAAATTGATTAGTGGGATGCTAAATTCTATTGTGAATTCTACAATACAGAAATGTTCATCTTACTGTGAAATTCCCAAGTGAGCATAGTTTTTTCTTCTTCAACATTTTAACATAATATCGAAAATAACCCTTTAAACGGTAGAGTTGAAATGCTAGAAGTACAATCAACAATTTTACCTCTAAAATACCCAGGGTAATAACGATTGTGTGATTTTTTTCATTATTATAGAAAACCATGTTCTTTTTGTTCTCACCTTGGAGGAGATTCCTTTGTGTTCTCTTAATCAACAATTACAATAGTTGCTAAAATTCACCTGTAGCTCAGAAAGGTGATCTAGAGCAAGGACTTATATTAGGATTTTACACTGTAAGGCCACCAAATGTGAAAGCTTCCGTGGAAAAGGGGGTGCAGTCTCAGTGCCTATAATGACCATTAATAAATTTCAAACCACAAGATTGATTTTGGTTAGTCTTCCAAGGGAAGCCTGTGCGATCGATTCCCTTCCAATGCAAAAGCCAATGCAACCAAGCTGAAAAGCAGCCTTCCCCATCAGACTCCTAGCAAGTATGGGAGATATACCCGCCCAGCACGTGGCTAAATTCCAGGTGAGTTAGAACCAAGTTTGGACACCTGGGAAGGCCGGGACTGCCCCGCGGGGTAAAGCCTGCAGACACTCACCAGCATCAGGTCATCCTCAAGGCTCTTTGGGGCGATGCTGTCATTTGCCCATACCGAGGAGGTCTCTAGTAGCTGAAACCGATGGGGATCTTTGGAGACAAAGGGGCCCAGCAGCCTTAGAACCCCCAGTCCTTTTGTATGCACCACATACAGGGGAGCCGCTGCCCTGGGCAACTCCAGAGCTTGCCCCTCACCCAGGGCCTTCCTCCAGCCCACAGCCCCCCTGCGTCTCTGGTTTTCCGAGGGGAGAAGGTCCACCACAGCAGTTGCCAGCTCCGGAGCCCCCTGATCCACACTCGCACTCACCGCTGCACCCCAAGGCCCATCTTGGCTGGAGAGCACCGGGTGGCCCAAAACTTCTCAAACTCAAACTCAAGTGAGATGTTCCGGTCTGGCCTTCTCAATTCCACCTTGTGGACCAGGGAGCCTACTAAGCTGGGCCTTCCAGACTTGAGGTTGTGCAGGGGAGCACGCTGCCTGGGCTGCTATGCAATGGGGCAGCTGAATCCAAGCCTCCTGACAAGCAGACACATCCCCAAGGCTGGGATCCAGCCAGTTGGTTGACACCGACTGAGAACTTTCAGCACCGTTCTCTTTCCCTCCCGCCTTTCAGAAGTCACACCAAAACCCATTATTCTCCATATCACATACCGAAAATGATTTTATTTTATCCATTTACATTTAAGTTGATATAAACTTGTCCGGAAAAGTCAAATAATATGCTTTATATTTAGCTCAAACATTTATTAAGAAAACCAAATTCCATAAATAAGCACAGACAATAAGTTAAATCATATCACAAATTGACCAGTATGTAACAAGAATGCTTTATCTACACAAAACATCCTATTTCACATGTTCATTCTTCGAAAGCGCTTCTGTTCTCTGGGTTTGGATTTGACCAGCACATGCAGAAAGAGCTGATTGTGTTTCTCTGTACAAAGTTGCAGGATTGTAGATGTCCAAGTGCACCTGTCAGTGGCCAGCAGGGGCCACAGGGCACGAGGGACGACAGGACGACCACAAAACAACCAAGGGCACGGAGCAGTGAGGAGAGAGAAACAGAAAAGGAAGCAGACAAACCCTAGTCCTGAAAGATCCAGTAAAGAAATGTGGCTTTGCTTTTACAAAAGAAATGTTTTCTTACACGTCTATTTTGTTCTTCCTTATAAAGACTTATCAAAATGGGTAGGATCACCTCTTCTTCATCAACTGACTGCCTTAATCTACTCCAGCCACCTAATCTACTGGCATGTTCCTCCTGAGAAGCCTTCCCTTCCATCCCCACATAGTTGTGCTTAAGAAATCAAAACAAGATCAAATAAAAAGCGTTGGGTGGCAAGCCAAATAGAGGTTTGCACGGATGTGACTGGGTGAATGGGCCGCGGGGAGGTGAAGAGAGGAGTTCAGAGAAACAATAAATACAAGGATAAATCCAATGACTACATCAGCTGGGCCCTCAGATGCGACGGTTGGTTAGCAGAGGCTTGTCCTCCTTTAAGACAAAAATCCCTAACATTGTGCTGTCCCTTGAACACGTCTGTGTGTGACCTAGATGCACTGCGTGTGTGTATGTGTGTGCGCGCGCGTGGAGTGTCTGCGAGTGAGCCAGAGTGCGAGTGTGTGTGTGTTCTGCCCACAATCCAGTCCATTGGTGTCTGATTTCAGATCCTGAGTCGACTCCCTGGTAAGTAAATGGTGGGAAGGAGGCTTTGGGCAAGGGTGCGGGAGGAGGGACGGGCGGCAGGAGCGGGGAGAGAAGGGGCCCAAGTGGCGGCAGCGGCGGGCGAGGGGGTCGTGGGCGTCGCGTTGAAGGTGTGAGCGTGGCCGCCGCGGGTCGGAAGGCCGGGAGTTAGGCCCGAGCGCGCCGCGTGCGAGCGCGGGGGAGGCCGGGGCCGGCGGGACGGGGTCCCGGGTGGACGGGTGTTGGGGGGGTGCGCTGGAGACGGGGCCCGGAAAAGGGCTGAGTTGGGTGGGTGGGTGGGTGGAGGGAAGAGGAGGGCCGAGGAAGCAGGGAACCCGGGCGAGCGAAATCAGGCGGCGGGTGGGCCCGAGCCGGTGGGGAGGGAGAGAAGAGGACAAGACGAGACGCGGCGGAGGCCAGGTCGGGCCCGGGCGAGGGCGCCGGGGCAGGAGCCCGAGCAGGGAGCGGGGGCCCGGGCGCGCGCGGGGAGGGCGGCGGGGCGGCCCCGGGGCCAGGGGCGCGGCGCCGGGCACGGAGCGGGCGGGGCGCGGCGGCATTAAGTGAAGCTCATGGACACTGTGTGCTCTAGCGCCTTGCGGCGGAGGGAGGCGATGCTCGTGCCCCGCCACACGTCGCTGCTGTCCGGGGAGCTGCAGAGCTGGGGCGAGCCGGAGACGTTGCTGGGGCCGGGGAGGGAGGCGGGCACCATGCCGGGGAAGGCGGGCTGGTAGAGGTGCGACTGCAGCCCCGCGCCGTTGGAGCCCGCCAGGCTGTTGGACAGGCCCATGGAGTTGGGCGGCGGCCCGGCGGCCAGGCTGCACTGGGACAGCGACTGCGCCATGGCCTGCTGCCGGCCCAGCGCGGGCGGCAGCGGCAGCTGCGACACGCCGGGCATGGCGGCCGCCGCCCAGCGGGTGTCGTTGGCGTGGAAAGAGCACAGGCTGTCGCCCATGGCGGCGGCGGCGGCGGCGGCGGCCGACGGGAACTGCGGCAGGCCCGGCGTGGGCAGCAGCGTGCCCGGCGCGCGGAACACGTTGGTCGTCTTCTTGCGCTTCTTCCACTTAGCGCGCCGGTTCTGGAACCAGACCTGGAGCGGGAGGGGCGGGAGAGACACCGGGCGCCGCAAGTGAGCCGGGGCGGGGGCGGGGGCGAGCCTGGCTCCCCAGAAGCCCGGGTCGGACCCCCCCTCCAGCCCCCACCCCCCACCCCGACCCGCGGCCCGATCTGCACCCCTCCTGGGTCTCCGTCAACTCGAGGCCAGCCGTGCGCCCTGGTACCCAAGCGCTGAGCGGGCGCCCAGGATCCGGAGTGTTCCCTTACGCAAGTTCCTGCGGTGCCCTTACACAGGGTGCCCAGGTTCCACCGTGTGCGGGCTTCCGCCGAGTGCCCGCAGGCTGGTCTCGCCTGTGCGCTGCCGAGACGCCCAGATTTGCAGGCAGGCGTGTGTCAAGGCTGGCCCCCCGGGTGTACAGATGAAGATAAACATGAGCACCCCTGTGGCTTGATAGCGTGCCCTGTAACGCTGATGAAGTGTAGGATTTTCAGAAATTTGGAAATTGATGAAGGGCCGTGGATGACACAACCAGTTTAAAATCAGACAAAGGAAAACCTCCGAACGCCACGGATGACAGAGCGGGGAGGCTGGTATAGTGATCCGTGCCGGGAAGCAAGCGCCACAGAGCCACGCAGTGTGGTCTGGGTCACCGCCACGACTTCTGATGGCACCGACAGCGACTGGTAGTGCTGCCACGAGTTTCTGTGCTTATCCCGGAGCCCTCCGAGGGCACCTTTGTCTGAGGCCGTGTGGAGATGCTGGAACCGGCCGCCCAAAACCCCTTATACTCCAGATCCAGTTTATTCTTAACAGGATCTCACTAAGGACCCCAAATAACAAGGCCTCCAATGCTCTCTCCTTCCCTGTTTCAACTATCAACTAAACAGTCAATTTTCTGATCACTGCGAAGTAAAAGACGTCAAGTTTAAAACACACTTGTTATGCATAAATTTTAACTTCACTTAAACTAATTCGGGTGTCTTTTTAAAAGAGATTTGTTGGATAAAATATATCTTAAATGAAAATAAGTTGTCTAACTTGTTATTTTTTAAATAATGAGCCACCTCACTTTCAGACTTTACCAGGCAGATTTGTCTAGATAGTGTCAAAATCACTCCCACAGGAGAAGAAGTCATCTTCCTGAAAGATAGCATGTAAGCTCCTGACCAAGATAAACTCCCATCTCCCCATATAGGAATTTGATCTTTTTTTTAAATTCCATATGTTCCTTTGGTAGTTTTCTAGTTTAATACGTAGTCAGCTGGAGGTTTACTATACATGCATATAATTGACATGGGACATTGCTCAGGTACTGATTGAGTTTCTTCTTGAGTTTGGCCAACATAATTAATTTGACCATCATATTCATGGCTGAAAGACTGTTCATCTTTTAACCCAGAATATCTAATGTTTCTTCTGCAAGCTAATGTATCATATATGTGGAGTACCCTGCCTCATTCTCCGAAAAACAGCTATGCACAGCATAGTGTGATTTTGTGTGTGTGTGTGTTCAAAGTCCTGTAAGCAGAGATGTATTCTATACTTCAGTGGGAGTGGCATTGCAATCTAGAATTCTTCTTGGCCTTTGGGCCAGCCTTGGCCTCCCCTACCACATCCACACCATTCTCTGCCACTCTATCTTTTCTTGCTTTCTGCTCCATTCCTCACATTTCTGCCTAACCCCTCGTCCATCCAGAGTGAGTAAAGAAGCCAGATGTCGTCCCTGCTAACCCAAATACTGGTGGCATAGCCGGTTAATGAGGCAGCAGGGCTGATGATGGTGAATGGAATCAATGTTGCCGGCTCAGATTGAGCTGTAAGTGGAGGAGAGCAACCCACAGGAGTGCAGGAAAACAAAGTGAGGACCTTTGGCCACAAGTCACTTTGCTCTACCAACCCACCGCTGGATTGGGTAGAGGTAAACCAGACGGAGCTATAGACAGGGATGGTGTTTGTGTCCAAATAGTCCTCACATAGCACACTCAGATATATGTTGAAAGGTATCTTTGAATTAAAAGACTGGTTCCTAACCCCCTACACGTGTCAGTAAATCCAGGGAGGTTGTAATGTTTGGGAAGCAGCAGAGGAGAAGTGCGGCAGAACTGAAGTTGGGGTGGGAGTCTGAGTGGGGTAGAGAAATAGAAGGAAGAATTGCCATGTAGAATTTCAGTAGAAAACAGGATTTCTAGAAAAGCTTCTAGATCTAAGGTCTGCTTGGGCACAGGTGGAAAAGAACAGCTGTTACAAGAACTAAATCTAGGAATAATCAAAAAATTGTGCTCAATTATTTTTGAGGGTTAGTAGTCAAATGATGGCTACAAAATGTTTTATGTTTCATGGCTTACTGAGGCTGGAGGGGGTGAAATATGCATGGGGTCTTAGCACCTCCATTCCAAGCTAAGATGCATATGTTTTTAAAATGTGAATGTTTCACTTGAAAACTAGAGCATGACGGATTAAAATGCAGGCAAAACCTAAGGGAGATTTTGAGAATGCACCAATGACAACTCCAGGAAATATATTAACCGCAGCCACAGGCCAACTTTGTGCTCAGTTTGAAATGCAGCTCTTCTTAGAAAATGCTTAATACAACAGTGAGAATCTAATGGAGGTTGGAATTTAAAAATCCACTTTCATGATATCTGCTGTTACAGTAATATAGACATACTGTAAATGTATTTTAAAATATATAGCCCGTTTAATTCCCCTCCTATAAATGGCTCAGAAATAGAGAAAGAGAGGGCCAAAGAGAGAATATTACTTTTTCCCCCTCAAAGCAAATGCTTTATGAAGATCTCATTGGAATCCAGCAAATGATTAATGTGAAGATTTGGGAGGAAATCTGGGGAGCTATATTAAAGCCTAGATCTCAGGTTCATTTCGATCAGCCAGCCGTGAACTCTGGGCCGAATTCATTACACTTTAATAGTGCTGGGAGAGGAAGAAAATGCAATTTCTCATTCCATTAGAAAACTAGAAAATACTCTCAGCTTGTCCCCCTATTAAGATGTGGCAGGTGACAGGGCCATTCTGGGGGACACGGTCAATGGAATTACAGCACATTATTTTTGTTCGTATAAAATATTGAAAGGCAAGCCTGACTGTGCAGAAGTTATTTCACTGATTTGGTTTTTATGTAAATAAAATATTGAAAGTTAATTAATCCGTGCTAGAGACTAATGATTATGCTTATTATATTGCATTTGATCGCGTAATTTGCATGATTCTCGCATTGCTGCTTAATAAGCCATTCCAGGTTATAAATAATTCTGAAATTGGTTTCTAATAATGGCATGCTATAAAAGGAATGGTTTTATTACACTAGCCAGAAAAGGGGAGCGATATCAGACATGGAATTTGCCTCCTTGTGAGTAGAGGTGCTTTAATAAATACTTGAAAGTATAATTTTACCAGGTATGGGTAAAAAATAATAAGTAGGTTGGATTATTTAGTGCAAAATCAAAAAAAGAAACATCCTTTAAAACATACAATTGCAGTAAATTGAATGTTTAGATAATTTTTAATCAGTGCAGTGGCTCACTGAAATGAATGTGTGGCAATCTGTTAACTATAAAGAAAACTATGAAGTACTCATCATATAAGAACATAAACCAATTACTATTTAATTTGAATTTGGTCAAGGAGCAACGGTACAGTGAATTGTGAAGTAAATACATTTTCCATAAATTATTTTTGCATTACATTACATAATGTTAATCATTTTGAAATGTTAATTAAGAAGGTTATGGTGATCTGATTACTTTTTAAACTATGAAACATTATTTTTAAAAATATTGAAATTGCCATTCTATTAAATTGTTCCTATCAGCAGCCTCAAGCTATTATCTTTGGTTGAACATTATGCTACAACAATTAAAGTACTTTGTCTCTTTCTTCGAGAATATTCTTTTGTGTACTTTTGGAAAATAGCAATTTCTATTACATAGTTTATATTTCATTTCATTTACAACTTTTTCTATTAAAAGAATCACTGCCATTAACCTTTGGAAGACCTAATAAAGTTTAATAGACCTCATTTTCTTTTTTCATAAAATCAGTTGTCCAATTATATTTTATTTGTGATTCTAAGTTCTATTTTAATTTAAACTAATTACCAGTGTGTCTAGGTTAGGCAACAGCATTTTACTCTTTAACAAAAATTGTTGGATAGTGTTTCTCTTAGAGTGCAAAAAGGAAAGTTATGGATTTGTTGAGCATACAATATTTTAACAAGCCAGTATCATCATTAGCAGTGAAGGGTGTATGGAAATGGTATGTTTCTAAACACATTTAAGCCCAACTTTAGATTTTAAAATAAGTGCAGGATGAAAACAAATGTAGAGGATTAATAAAATATACTGGCATAATGTAATTAGTACTCGTTTGGGGCTTAATTTCAATGACTCATGGTTCAGGGCTTTCAGAGTTCACTAAGGCAAACACCCAGTCTTAAATTGAGTGGAAATGTTCACGTATATCATACACTGACTATTACTTTACCATGATTCCCCAGTAAATTTCCTTTTCCTGATATTTAAAACAGAAACTCCATTATTTTTCTGGCTTAGGTTATCTTTACTTTTATTTCATTCCATTTGCTGTGCCTGAAGTATACTTCAAAAGCCAAATGAAGACAGAAATAATCAACATTGAGTCTCTTTCTCTTTAAATTCACTGTGTAAAAAAACTGAGATCTTTAAACTTAAGTGGTAAAAGTAGCGCTGAGCTGACACCCAATATAACTGACAGAAAATACCACATCCAGGGAAGAATTTTTTTCAGCACCCTGGATAGCTCAAGACTAATGAAGGGTCTTGGAATCTCACCAGCACAGGTACAAAACCTGTTTGTTAGGATGTGTTCGTTGTTTTTGAAAAGCAAGGGGGGCGGGGGAATCTGTGGTTCATTAGGCTACTACTTTTATTCTACTTTTATTCAGGAGAGCCATCCGTGTGATCCTGTATATATACTGCAACTTGGAAGCCGACTGGAGGAGAGCAAGGGATGAGAAATGGTTTAGACTACCACCTGTCAATATTCCCTGCCCTGTCCTCATAGTAACTAACTGGGACAGAAAGCTGTCGGTCACCCGCACGCCGCACCGCACCGTACCCCGATTCCTTACGGGAAAGCCTGGGCTCACTGGTTATAGCCAGGTGGCTCCTGTACACCACCAAAGTGCACATTTTGGGGGCTTTATAAATATCAAAGCTAGGGATATTTTTCGCCTGGAAAGTGACGAGAGGAGAAGGTGATATTTAGGCGAGTGAAATGACACCGTAAATCCAAAGCGGAGGGTGGAGATTTTTTTTTTTTAGGTGCTTACTATGCTTATTCCCTGTCTTTCCCTGCTGTCTTTTGTTGCGTGTCGCTACTTCTCCCGACGCTGAGCACAAACTCCTGGGCTGGCAACGCAGTCCTGTGGCGGAGGTGCGCGCGCGACGTGGCCACCTGGGAGACGCGAAAGCGAACGGTCCCCGCGCTTCGGGTGGCCAGAGCCCCGCGGGCACACCGTGCCGGTCCTGCCTTCGACGGGCTCTCCGCGGTTAGACTGCCCCGAGAATGTAGTGGGCTTTTCGGACCCAGGTCGGCGCGGGGGAAATTGACTCGACCCGGAAACGCAGAGGCAGCGGCTGGGCCGCGCCGCGCGGAAACCGAGCAGGCGAAGAGCCCGCGTCTCCCGCCTCCAGCTCGCGCTCCCGCCCGCGCCCGGGTACCTGCACGCGGGACTCGGTGAGCCCGATACGCAGCGCCAACTCCTCTCTCATGAAGATGTCGGGGTAGTGAGTCTTGGCGAAGCTCCTCTCCAGCTCGTTGAGCTGTGCCGGGGTGAAGCGCGTCCGGTGGCGCTTCTGCTTCTGTTGGCCCTGCTGCTGGCCGGCTTGGCTGGGGTTCGGGCCGCCCTGGGGCCCCGGCTGCTTGTCGGGGTCCTTGGCGCTCACCGCCAGCGAGGCCGGCGTCGAGCCCACGGTGGTGATGTCCTCCCCAGGCAGCAAAGTGGTTCCCTCCACTGGGTCGGAATTGGGGGCTAGGTCCCCCGGGTGGCCCCCAGGGTCGGAGCCCCCCACGCCCAGCCTACACTTCACCGCCTCCCGGTGGCCCAGAAGCTCGGCGGCATCTTTCATACCTGAGGAGGCAAGGGGATCGCGGTCACTGACAGTGCTGGACCGCGCCAGGAGAGAAGGTTTCCCCCACCGACGCTCCCCAAAGCTGCAACGGCTCTCCTGCAGCCAGAGGCCTGACTCTCTTTGCGCCCACGTTCGCCCCACGGTGAAAATCTATCCCGAGGCTGAGCTGGGCACCCCAGGATTTGGAGGGCCCGGCTGCAAGGATTCGGCCCCGCCCTTTGCCCCAGTCTCGGCAGCTGGCCCCGGGGAAGAAGCGGCTCACGTTTTCATCTTTCAGACGATGAAAATTCCCGGTTCCGGCAGTGAAACGTGCCTCGGGGGCCCCCTCTCACGAACCCGATCCCTTCCGTCCCCAAGAATCCGAGCGCATAGCCTTGGACGGAGGGCTTGGGGAGGGGAGGGAAGAAGAAAATAAAAACGATTTCTAGGGACCGCCCTACCTGCGCTTAAGCAGCCTGACAGCTAAACCTCGGGGCTCAGCCGATTTCCTCTCACCTTTGGAAGATGAATTAAGTGTCCGAGCTTGCCACCCCCCGCCCTCCGAAGTCCACCAAAATCAGCTCCGCCTCCCCCTCTCAAATCAGAGAAAAGGCTTCGGGAAATGGAGTCGCATCCATCACCAAAGATCCCCAATCCTGAAACCAAGGAGCCAGCAATCTAGACCGCATTTAGAAAACTACAAACAAAATCGTGGATCAAACTTTAGAGAATGCAACTTTTGTTTCCTGAAAAATAAAAGGAGCGTTTGGTCATAGCCACTAGCATTGCCGAATCCTTTGCAGGCGGGGATGCCTTGAGAGGATGGATTTAGGTTTTCTCCTTTCCCACCCATCCCACCCACCAAAGAGCACATTTTGTAAATCTGCTTTGATTGCAGCGTTTTCTCCTTTGCCATTTATTTACAAATTCAATCATACTTCGACGAGGAGGAGAGAAGGAAGAGAGAAATGTGGGGGAAAGAGAAGAAAGAAATCCAAATCAACGCAGGGGGCAAGAGACAGCGCAACACCTCCAAACAAATTACCACAGCACAAATTGCCTTTCCATAAAATAATAATAATAACAATAATAATAAAGGGGGAGGGAGAAGAGAAAATAAGAGAAACAAAAAGTATCAACATTTCCCAAGTCCTCTTTTGGATCTACATATTCCATAGATTTTTTTTTAAGACGATGTTAAATCAAATTAAAGTTTAATGCAGCACAATTACTTTTAAAGAAATTAGTCCATTTAGGGCGCATTAAGGTAAAATAAGGAACAAATTGACAATTTCCTGCCCCGGCTTCTCCTGGCTGTCGGGGCGAGAGGCGCGCACTCACCTAGCCTGGCGTCCAGGAGGTCGGCGTGAGACAGCATCGCGCACCGCTCCAGGGCGAAAGCTGTTCCCCCCCAAATTTTAGCGGCTTTAAGTTATTTAAAATAGATATAAGCTATAAGCTATACGATATAGATATATATAGATCACCTAAATGAAAGAAAATTCGGTTTGTGGTTAAAAAGGGGGCTTCTTGCATTATAATGTCCTTTAGAGAGACGGGGAGGTGCTTAACAGTTGAATGAACCCGTGAGCAGCTCGGCGAGGGGACCAATCAGGAGGGCAGCCTGCAAATGTCAGCGCCCGGAGAGTCCCCCACTCCGCCCGCCCGCCCGCCCGCCCGCGCCCGCCCGCCCGCCCGAAGGAGGCGGCGGCAGCCGTGGCCGCTCCAGCCCCGCGCTGCCGCCAAAACACCGGTGGCCGCTTCGGCTTCACCCGGGGCTTCGGGCCCGGCCGCGCTTAGTTCTTTGCTGCGATTTTCTCCAGGCACCCCTTCCTTCTCGGTGTCGCGCCCTGCTCTCTGCAAAGACGCGTCTCAGTCTCTCTGAGCTAGGATCGTTCCGAGGCCGAGGCAGGGCAAGGGCCAGAGCAATGCATGACCCCTGCGTGACCGAGAATCAGCCCCCTACCCGCAAGCTCCGGCTACTTTGACCTTCGGCGGGCGCGGGCCCACCGGTCCCTGACACACTAAGGGCAACGCCGCGGCCTCTAGACCGCGCCTATAAGTCGTCGCCCCGGCCACGCAGGCCTGCACCTAAGCATCTAAGCTGTGTCAGGACCCTGGGTCCAACGGAGTCCCAAACCTTAACAGTCCTAGAGCGCTCAACCGCCGCCCCACCCAGTGCGTCCTGGCACTTAAGTCCGCTTGCAGGACCAGCGCGCAGAGTGATTCCCGTGCTCGGTTCCTTGCCCGCCTGCCTCCGGCTCTTTCGTCAGGCGCACGCACGCTCCTATCCTGGCCCTCAGCACGCACTTTGAGTTAAAGTTTCTAAGTTCAACTTGGCTCCCAACTCCACTTAAGGCTGTAAATAAAATTAAATGCTCTTTATTTTCCTCTTGAATATGTTAAACTACTTGAACAATTTAAAGTGCTTTGCACAAGTGAAGCGAACCATTTCTAATGTTCTGATTTTTCAGAGCCAGCCAACAACAAAGTTTAGATTAGTAATATATTTCTAACCAGAGTAATTTTCAAGATCATTAGGCATTTATGTAATTAGTGCCAAATCTATAAGCTTTTATTACGATTATTAGAGTAAAATCAGTATAAATTTGTACTAATTTACTACTGTTTAGACTTGGCTGTCAAGCCCAGAGGTTCTTATTGTAAATGATAACTGAGGAAATTAAGTGCAAAATTCTGTACCATTTCTGATGTGCTCCTAAACAATCCGTTTCAATTGTATTTGTAGCAGAACATAATGCCCTTTTAAAGTTATTTGACTTGTATTTTTATTTGCAACACAAGAAAAATGCCCTCTACCCAGGCACAATGAAAACTGATATTTACTACTCTCAACTTGATTAACATTGATTTTTAATTCGAGAGTGATGCAATTAAGATTATTCATTTAGTGCAAATAAAGCTTCCACAAAAGGGTGGCCCTATGAAGTCTGTTTTAAATAATACCGAACAAATGGCTTTTTTTGTTCGCCGTCCAATTGACTTACACAAAACATTGGGAATGCTGCCTGAGAGCAGATGCGAGAGGAATTGTGCGTGTGTGTGCGTGTGTGCGTGTGTCTGTGTGTCTCCCTTAGCAGTGTGTGACAGGGACTAAGCAAAGAGACAAAGGAGGCGGCAAAGCGAACTCAGGGGCAGTTTTGCTTTCTCCTCCTCCTCCTCCTCTCCTACAGCCCTTTCCCCTCCTCCCAGGCACACACACCGTGCGCGCGCGCACACATGCACACACTCGTGTGAGTGAATCGGGACAAGCGCGACAACACCGATCCTCTCCTCGCTGCGTTGACCACTTCCCCCAAGCCCCCCGCGGCCGCCGTAGCTGCGCCTATGCGGCCTAAGTGTGACCGACTGCGCGGGGGTTGCGGGCGGGGTCCGGGCGGAGCTAGGCGGGCCGCGGCGCGTTTGAGAATCTCCAGGGCGCTGGGCGAGCGCCTCTAGTCCTTTCAAGGAAGGTTTTGCCGGGCGAAGAGTATCTAGATCCGAAAGCAAATAGAATTCCGGGGATAAAAGCTACCCCTTCCCCCAAAGGAACCTCCAAGTCTAGATGCTAGGGAGCTCGAGAAGGGGGTGGGGTGAGGGGAGAGGGAGGAGAGGGGGCGCGGAATGCGTCGCGGGGAGAGGGGGGCCCCCGGGAGCCGAGCGCTTTGACTTGACCCCCTAACGCACACTTGACCGCACTCTTCAGAGGACTCCTGGGGGTCTGTGCCCACCTGGGTGAAGCCCGAGGATGAGGGCAGAGGCAGAGGTGGGAGAGGGGTCAGAGGAAAAAATTGGGGTGAGGGGGTGCGGCCGGCCGCTGCACCCCGTTCCTCCAAACCGGCAGTCCGTCGAGGCCCCGCAGCGCGGCGGCTCCTCACCCGGGCTGGAAGGCGAGAGGAGAGGCCACCACCTGCGAAAAGGACGAAGCAACGGCCCCCTCCCAGGACTACACGAGTGTGCACCCCAGCGCTCGTTGTCCTCGTTCCGCCGTCGACCCCAGAACAGCCGCCAACCGTGCTGCGTCCTCCTACGCGCACTCGCTCGTATATTGTTTTGCTGTATCTTTCAGGTCGATAAATAAATGTGTAATAGTTAATGTGAAGACACATCAGAGTAATAACAATGGGACGAAATCAAAGGATTATCCATCTCTGTTAGTAACCGCTGAATAACAATGTTGCGGCGTGATTGATAGCCCGCTTCATTTTATGACTTTTCTATTGGTCTTGATTTTTATAGCAGTATAAACAAACTAAATCATTTCTTCCAAGACTTCTGAGCGTCAGCCTGGGGTGGGGTGGGGAGAGGGGTATGGAGCGATAAAGGAAAGGGGCGGGGGGGGGGGAAGAAAGGGAAATGTGAGCGTGGGAGGGGGTGCCGAGGTAGGGGGGCGGGGTGGGGGCGTCGAGGCGGGGAGGGAGCAAGCTGGAGCTGGAGCCCCGAGTCGGACTCCGCTGCCAGCGGGCGTGGCAAAGGGAACGACAATAGTCTGCATGTAAAATGCTCGCCCCCGCGCCCGCTTCGCTCTCGGCAGCACGTTTTGGCCAATGTTTGAATCCACCTGGGCAGCGTCTGAGATGTATTTACCAGAGTTTTATTCCCCGTCATCTTCCCACGTTCCTGGGGCAGCCGGGAAAGTGCCGGTCAGGCCCATTGCTATTGATAATTTAAGGCATTTCCCACATGATCATGGGAACTGAAGTCCCTAACAAGGCGAGGCTTTAGCGCCATGGCCCCCAAATCTTCGGAATGACAAGAATGTCTTCAGAAATCACTTCAAAGCAAAGTAAAAGGATTTTCTATGACGGATCCAGTGATTTTTCCTCAATAAATAGGTTTTAGATTGTTACACACACGTAGAAGTGGAACAAAGGGAACTACCAGAAAATATATTGGTTGCCCCTAATAAAATTTATTTAGACAGTTTACTTCTCATAAAAAATAGAGATTGAATTTTGTACAAGAGCCTGCCAAGGGGCGATGCACAGGGAAATCATTTTTTTCTTTCTCTTTTCCCCCCTTCTTCTCTTTAACGAAGCACAAAGAGCATTTAAAGGCCAGGGAATGGACTGCCTCTCCCGAGGGCAGGTGCCCAGACTGAGCCAGAGAACTTTGTACTTTTGAGAGAAGTCAGCTTTCTGAGAAATATCCGCACATATATTTTAATCTTAATCGCTGGTTATTTAACTTACAAATACAGCAAACTACCAGATATTTCCTTCTGCTCAAATATCTAGTTTCAGAGCACGACTTAGAAAGAGTGTGGCTGGATGGTGTGGGAGACCCTGTAGCAAGTGCTTTAATGAAGGATTTATGCTGATTGGGTTTGTTATTCTGATTTCATCTCTAACTGTACTTCTCCCTTTATTAGAAGTCTTTGGAGAGACTGTGAGACTGACTGCGAGGTTGAAAATATATACCGGGTGCTCTGGAAAAATTGGATCGCATGCCCAGCGCCCTAATTGCTTTTTCCACTTACAGAAACCTGGGTTGTTTATTAAATGTAAGTTTTGGCTGCTCGAGTTGTTTGTAAACTGCTCTCTTCTCTTTGCAGATAGTGGGCTGAAATATGGCACGTTATTATTCACATTCCTGCTATTAAATGCTGAATTGTAACATTGTTCCCGCTAATGAGGAGTGCCTCCCTCAATAATTAACGATCTCACATTTTCCTATTTTCTTGCCTGATGAAAAGAATCAATTTTAATTCGTGGTAAATTACAGTCATGCTTTTGGGTATTATTTGCTTACAGAAAACAAATCAAGTGACTTGAACACTCCTGTTTACTTTTCCATCTATGCAATAATCCAAACGGCAACAGCAAATCAGATCGTGTTCCCCGGTCTGCCTCAGAACTTGAGAAAGAACAAGTAGGGGCAAATAAAGGAGGAAAAGGCAGGAAGCTGTGGGGCACCCGGGCCAGAACAATGGAGCCCTCCGTCCATAGATTGCCCCAGGTGCAAGAACTGCGGCTCTTTGGTCAGCACCACCCTGGGCCCCCACCCACTTCCAACTGCCTACAGGGTCAACCATCACCTCCCTAGAGATTGAGGCTACTAGGTGCAAGACTCTTTTGGAGGGGAGGCAATTTGAGGCTGAAATGAATGGAAGAAAGGAGAGCTGGGAGGACAGCCAAGTCTCTGAGAAAGGGTGAGAGGAATTTCCACAGTTCTTTGCAAACAAAACAAAACGAAACATCTTCCCGTGGTAGTATTTTACACGAGGCAACCAGCTTTGGCTAAGGATACTGGCTCCCACTTTGGCTCGCTTTGGGGAGGGTGCATAAGCAGGATTCACCCCAGGCCAGCAGTTCTGGGCCCAGTTCACACAGTCCTGGGCCCAGTTCACCAACCTCCCTAGACCTGGAGCCCAGGGACTCAGGGTGCCTCTCATTCTCAGTCCCATGATGCTTTCCTGGATTCGGGACCTCGAAAACTCCTTGCCTTCATGCCTTAAGCTTCTGGCAAGGAGCTAAAACTAAGAACCCTCA